CCGTCACCATTAGCGTTTGTTTTTGCAGCGAACAAAGTTAACATTTTAGGAAAAAGTTAAAATGTTAACTTTGTTCGCTGCAAAAACAAACGCTAATGGTGACGGTACTGTGCAAGTAGCTAGCGGGTACTAGCTAAACGCACACTCCCGTTGTTAAGTGTTAGTTGAGAAGTTATTAGCTGTTGTTAGGAAAAAACAGTATGTCTATCTGTCGTATTGAAATGTTTTATTGTGTTACTTTTATTCATCACTGTTGTTACTTGACAGTGAGCAGAGTATATTGAGTTTGCTGCTTTTAATGAGTGTGAATTGCTTTAATGATTGGTGATGGCTACATTGCCATGTAATGAAAACGTTTAGGATTTGATTAGTTGTACAACATTAGAAATTGAAACACATTTTGTTCATGCTTTATACTTTAAACAGAAGTGTTGTTAGTTAAGTGTGAACAATGTTCATTTGAAGTAATTCTGACCTCACTCTTAGGTCAGGTTTTTTGAGTTGGAGAAAGGAGCTAAGACTCCCCGGAGAACTTTGGATTACAGACTTTGTTGAAATCCGCAGAAGAGGAATAATTTTCCATTGCAATGGATGGCGAGCCACAGCCCATTTGGAATTGAATCTTGAAGTCTGGTTGCCTGAATTGTGGTAGGACAAAACTGTGCAAACCATACATTGATTGTGGACTGAACTCACCAGATCACCAAACAGGCCTGATCTGGATCCTATTGACACTTTAAAAGACCCGGGTCTAACATTTGTTTCTTTTTCATTTTGGGTATCTGTGCGCGCACACACAATTTTGGTTATTATTGTAAATGCAATACAGTGCACAAATTTCAAATACAGTTGAAACATTGCTTCATCATTTGCAGTTGTGTTTTCATTGTGGTTACCCATCCTCTGGGCTCCTGTCATTCCTGAAGTCTTCTGATTTGCCCGTTGTTTATATATTTTGTTACATACTGGTTACACAGAACCCTCAAGCTCCTCTGCTAGAGGGCCCAAGCTTGGAGAATAGAACGCCCGCAGGGGCGAGCAGGGAATAATAATAATAATTATTATTATTATTATTATAATTATTAATAATTAGTCGACTAGTCATGATTACGTCGACTATTAAAATCGTCGACGACTGATTTAATAGTCGATGCGTCGTTTAAAGCTTTATTAGATCCCAAAAGATGCAGGAATAAGTAGTAGGATTTAAAAGTGTAATAACGGACTGAAACAGAAGATGGCAGCACTGCATGTACAAGGATGCCAGCTGCCATCAAATCTCGAAGAAGAATAAGCTGTGTCCGGTATTATAACTGTGTCCAAATTCAGGAACCGCATCCTTCTGTGCTGTCCAAATTCAAAGACTCCGACAAATGCGTCCTTCATTTCTCCAGATTTGAAGGATGGGTTGGGTGTGTACTTCGTGGCCCAACCTATCCCAGAATTCATAGCGCGGCCATCCTCTGTTTCCAACAATGGC